CAGAAGTGGTTGATTGGTCCTGAATTCTTGCGCCAAGATGGCCACCTGTGGCCAAGTTTACCAATCTCGACAACCCTTAACGATAACGATCCAGAAGTAAAGCCTGAGAAGGAGATAGTCACCGTTTACGCCACCGAGCGTAAGGATTCAGCTAATCCAACCGACAGATTGATAGCCAGGCACTCCTCATGGTATGAGCTGAAAAGAAGTGTTGCATGGATTATGCGAGTGGCTGATAGTCTGCTAAGAAGAATCAGGAAGCAACCGGCAGTACAAGACATGAAGACACTGACAACAAACGACCTGGCTAGGGCAGAGGCTTCTATCATAAGATACATTCAAGCCCAGTCATTTCAAGAGGAGTTCAGCCACTTGAAGAAGGGTGAAGATAAGATTCAGAAGCTAAAAGCTGAAATGAAGAAGAAAGGTCAACTGTACAAGTTGGATCCTATCCTGACAGAAGACGGCATCATCAGAGTTGGGGGACGATTGCGGAATGCCCCGGGGAATATGTCAAATCAACCACCCATATTGCCAAAGGGCAACCATGTGGTCTCTCTCATCATGAAGCACTACCATCTGGAATCTGGTCATTCTGGGAGGGAGTATGTTCTGTCACTGATACGACAAAGATTCTGGATCATCAAGGCTAGATCTATGCTGCGTAGAGTTTTGAGCAATTGCTTCGAGTGTAGACGAAGATCTGCAGTTCCGGTCCAGCAAAAGATGGCAGACTTACCATCTGACAGAGTTACCCCAGGCAGACCACCATTCTCATTTGTTGGAGTCGACTGTTTTGGACCATTTCTGGTGAAACAGGGTAGAAATCAGATCAAACGATACGGTTGTATATTCACATGTCTAACATCTCGAGCGGTACACATAGAAGTTCTGCACACATTGGATACTGATTCCTTCATAAACGGCATGCAGAGATTTATCTGTCGGCGAGGACAACCAATAGAGCTGAGGTCTGACAATGGCTCTAATTTCATTGGGGCTGAGCGTGAGCTCAAGGAAGCTTGGAAAGGGTTGAGTCAAGAGAAGGTTGACAAGTGCCTTCTAAAGAAGGGAATCCAGTGGAAGTTCAACCCCCCGACCGCTTCCCACATGGGAGGCGTATGGGAAAGACAAATAAGGTCGACACGCAGGCTGTTGAGTTCACTGATGACAGAGCAAGTAGTAAGCGATGAAACCTTGTCAACTGTAATGTGTCTAGTCGAATGTATCATAAACAACAGGCCGATTACCACCGTTTCAGACGACATCAATGACTTGGAGCCACTCACACCAAATCACCTACTACTTCTTCGTGGTGCACCCCATTCCCTTGGTGAATTCGACAAAAAGGAGATGTACACACGGAGAAGATGGAAGCAAGCACAATATCTTGCTGATGTATTCTGGAGAAGGTGGATCCGAGAATACCTCCCCACACTTCAGAAGAGACAGAAATGGCTTGAGCCCAAAGGGAACATCATGGTTGGCGACTTAGTACTTATTGTCGACAATGACCTCCCTAGAAACAAATGGCTTCTCGGGCGTGTTCTTGAAACTTACCCTGGGAAGGATCAGCTTGTAAGAGTGGTCAAAGTTAAAACCAAGTCATCCATTCTGACTAGGCCAGTGCAGAAGTTGTGTCTCTTAGAGTCAGTGGATAAGGAATAGTAGACTACATGTATGTATATGGTCTTCATCAGATTTGTAGCTTGTGTCAAAACCTAAAGTTCCAGCGCCAAGTTTCTTGTAAGGTTATTTGTAATTGTACATTATAATTTGGAATGATGTTATTGTTGCAATCGTATAATCATGTGACAATGTTTAAAGGTATGAAGCACCCGATTTGTTAAAATAGTTGCATTCTGCTTAAAGTTGAGATTAAGTAGTAAATGCCGTATTGAGTAGAAAATGACATTTAAGGGGTCGGAATGTTAAGTCAGAATGCTCTTTTATTGATAAACTAATTATTTGTTATATTTCATCGATAGAGGGCGCTGTTAAATTGGACCGTAAGCTATAACTTTCTGCAGTCACGCTTTTGCAGTCGCCATATTTCATGTTTTGTTAGTACGTCATCCCAAAGTCGTAAGTGAAATATACATAACTCATCATTTATAATCCCTTTATTTGGTTATTATGGACATGCTTTGGGTTCTGGGATAAGTTTAAGGTATTTAATTTGGGGAAAAACACACACAAGTATAAAATAGAGACAGTTTATAATGTACATGTATGTGCATTGTGGTTAATTACATGTGACAATAGGGTTATTGCGTGTAATGGTACAAAATGTACATGTAGACCCACAGACAAGGCTGGTGTCGTCAATCCTGTTAATTGCCTGATATTATGTGATTAGTAATGATTGCTTAACTTTAATTATAAACAAAATTGTTGTTGATTCATACTTATATTTTACAACTGATTAAAGTAAATTTTGTATTTGTTATGGACAGATTAAACCGTGTTCACCTGATTACAACTTACAAGCCTGTCAAGTTTGAAGTTGACATTTGATACACGACACCCTGTCACACTGGGGTGGTCAACTTCGGCAGGCAATGTGTCCCCAAAGTTATCAGATTACCCCCCCCCCCCCCCCCACACCATCAAAAATAAACTACGCATTTCAACTTCGCCGTCGCGGAGTTGCTCAACCAAATCTATGAATTTGTGTATTAATATTTAGCATACAATTACACGCACTTCCAGTGTTTTTAATGCTCACAACTCTTGATCGCCAAGGCGTTTGAAATTTTAATCTTTTAAATCTAGTATTTCTTGAGTTGTTGCCCCCAAAACGAGTTCGTTCTGTATTTCGAAACTGAATATTCCTCCAGTGCCTTGTCATGATGACTGTGTTACATAATGAGATTTAATTTCATGAGAATTCATCAAACAATAGAAACAAATATAGTATTTTAAACGTTTATTTTCAAGACCGATCACTTGCTGAACTTACAACTTAATATAGCTTGACCTGATGAGCTCGGCCGGTTATTGCTCAAACAAAGAGTGTATTATTATTATTTTTACATGGACGTTGACTTTTGGTTTTTCATTTGGTTTGTATTTTTCACGTTTAAAATACTGTATTTGTTTCGGGTATGCTCTTTTTCATTGTTTGATGGTTTCTCATGAAATTAAATCTCATGATGTAACACAGTCATCATGACAAATCACTGAATATTAAATTTTGAAATACAGAACAAACTCGAGTTTTGGGGCAACAACTCAAGAAATACACGTTACATTAAAATGAATTTTCGTGCACTCATTTGTCATTATGTTTGACATGAACAGATTTAATTTCATAAGAAAAGGTCAAACAATCAAGTTATTATGACCGTAACAATACAGGGTTTTAATCGAGACAAATACAATCCTAATGGAAGTCAACGTGGATTTTTATTGTCTCCACAAAAGTCCATCACTTGTAATTGTGCCAACTTAATTCGTTTGGGCAGATCGTATCCACGTTGATAGAAGTCTTTGCGGTGTGTGAATGGTGCATAGTTGCTTAATCGCTTTTCGTATTATAAAGGCATCTCTATAATGTCGCCATATTTTAAAATTTGCTTTTCAGAGGGGCCCTGCTTTACCGTTTGCTATGTTATTGTCAATAACTAATTGCAAATGTATCGATATGTGCACCCAGTGAGTTAAAAAACACTATTCTTCCCTCAACCTAAAATCGGCTACCTCTAGTGAACGTCATTGATATGATGTACTCTGTATTTGGACAATGTAGTCCAACTTACCCCCCCCCCCCAGTTTTACTCTTCTATTGGGTAGAGTACTGGTTGCGGCAATTCCTTAAAGCTATAGTCCATCATTTGTAATTTGTGCATTTTGTTCGTTTGAAGCAACAAAGGAGTTCAAAATCTAATAAAGGATACTGAGCAACTAACCTGATAAAGTTTCAGCTAAGCTTCAGCTGTACATTCCGAGAAAAACCAGCATTCTAAGATCTCAATTTCAAATCAAAAGTTACTGAATCATGTTTTGAATTGCAGCTATACGCGACGTCGCGCACTGATCTGACGAATTATAACAACCGCGCGCGCGTGTGCGTCGTTCCAACGCTTGCGCGCGCTGCGCTGAATAACAAAACGAACTACTAATTTAAATTTTCCTACGGTGCTTCTTAAGAATCACCGTTGGAAATGCCTTCTTTCGTTGATTACTTCAAAATGACAGCTTCCCAGAAAGAAAAATTTCACAGGGAGTTTAGTTCCTTTACTATCTTTCAACTAAGTATGTTTTTTAACAATAATTACGCCAGTTACTTTTCGGATGGCTGCAAATGATGGACTGTAGCTTTAATACAATTAGCCTTTTGCCCAGGCCATCGTGGCTTAGAGCGGCGGAGTTGCGAAGACCCGAAGAGACTGGAGCAAAGAGTAAGTCAGCACGCGTACGCACGAGTGGCGAAGCCACGAGGCCTTTTACAACTTGATTTTGTTGAATTATTCATAGTTTTTATGGAAATAAGAAGCGTTCTGAAGGGTTAACCAATCACAACGCGGATTTTGCCTAGTCGCTTCCATTTTAAAAAGATGGGTGAGCAAGGAAAACGTAAGAGCAAATAACTCTTTCGCCGCTTTGAATACGGGCAAGTTAAGCCACGATGGCCTTGGTGAAAGGCTATTACAATATACTACTGTTGCAAGGCGGAACAAAGGCCCCCAAAATTGGAAAAGTTCCACCAATCTTTCCACCCATCTTTCCACCCAGCCCTCCAACTCATTTTATGCAAGAGTTAAACCCTATTTTATTCACTGGAAAATAATTCATGCATTTAAATCATGCCGATCAAACCGAAACTTCTTTGCCCACAAGAGGCATTTGTTTGAAAGAACAAAAAAAATTACAAGATATAAATACCAAGCAAATGTATCAACACTTTTCTTATAAAAAAATCACTTTTTATAAAGTTGATCAAATTTAACAAAAATTCACTCAATACATTAAAACAAACTCCAGTATCCACACAAGTCTAAATTCCTTGTGGCAAAGTCTTATGCCTTTTATTCCGATCTTAGATACAAAAGTTCCTGCAGATGTGAACAGTGCTCAAAAGCATAAACGTGAACTTGCCAAACCAGCTGAAGTGACACGGGGAACCTGCGTGAATGCGACTGCCAAAACCTAAACACCATGCGCCACAAAATATGACAACGCTGCGACTGTTTGATTGAATTGTAAATTGATAACTCAGATATTGTATCAAACCGATGCAGAGTTTTTCACAATGTGCATCATACAATATGACTGCACAATGACATGTTTTATTGCAGACTGAGAACTGAGATATTGTATCTTGAAAATATTGAGAGACCGAGTTAGGATATTTGTTATAATTGTTTGGTTGGTTGGAAGGGCGTGACGTCCGGCGCAATTTCTTAGATTTAATCTTCGTCCTCGTCTTCATCTTCTTCCTGGTTGATCTGGAAGTAGCGGAGGTCGTAGGTCTCCTTGCCCGAGGCGACGACGCGAAGCCAATCACGGAGGTTGTTCTTCTTCAGGTACTTCTTGGTCAGGTACTTCAGATACCTGTTTTGTCAGGATGAAAATGAAAAAATAAATAACTAGAGATTTGTGTTTGTTGAGTTAACAAACGCTGGGTGATTGGGCTGAAAACTATTTTATTATTGCGCAGTTAATGTCAGAACAGAAAAAAGATCATGAAATTCAGCCTTTCCGGTAAAACCATTTGATCAGGATCTACGTGCGCCTGCGCTTGTTGAAAAATTGACAAAGAACTTTTAAAAATACATGTAATATGAAGAACACTTAATGGAATGGCTAATATTCGATTAATTTTTAAGAAGAAATTTGAGCTAATAGTCCTCATGAAAGCTCTCAACAATAGTGGCTTTCAACAAAAGTGTGGCATTTGAGATAATTTGAAAGTGGCCTTCAACAAAACTGCGGCATTGGACAAACAATAAAACTAAAATAACACTGTGGACATTTTTTCATCATCTGCTCGAGACTATTCACATTTTTTGAATATTTGAATCGACAAATTGCTATTCGGATATTCGGTTGATAATCGAATATGTGGTAGATCCGGCATAGCCTAGGTATTCCTATGCACGCACCTCTTGGAGAAGTGGACATTGGAAGTAATGGTGAGTTTACTCTTCTTGCGCTCGATGCTGACGTTGTTGCCAAAATTCTTGGTCTTGCCGTCCACCTTGATGCGGTCTTGCAAGAACGTCTCCTGTGATTCGAGGGAAGGGGGTGGGGTGTGGTCGAAGCAGAGAAAGGCAAGGTAGGTTAGGGAAGATGGCCCTAACCACTGCACCCCTGAAGGGGTGCGTTGCTCCCACAAAGGGGTGCTTTGTTTAGGGAAGAGGTCCCTAAGTTGGACTAGGAATGGTCAACCCTAATCCACAGAGAAACACAGTTAGTACAGTTTTTCGTTAAGTACAATATTTAGTTAAAAATCAATTATAAAATAATTGCTTATAAAGATTCCCTTTTTCAGAAATAATATTTACGTTTTATTTTTGCACCTTGAAAGGTGTTGCAAACTAAACCGTACGTCCCCAAAAAGTGTCCGTGCAAATATTTTTGAAATAACATAACCACAAAGCATAATTTTGAATTTTTTTAATTGTTCAGACACTGCTAATCCTTGGCCTCAACTCCTATGAGTTCTTGTTTAATTTCCCTCAAGCCTCACTGCACAATGGTCAGTTGATCACAACAACTTTTTTGGACACTGTGACCAAGTTCCTTGCCTTAATCAATTTCAGTACTGTGTTAAAGGGAAAATACAACATTTGCAAACATCAACAAATAAAACTACCAAGTCATTCTGAAATACCTTGCTGGACTGTTAGTGAATGACAGTGTAAAGCATCCTGTAAAATCATGGCACCTGGTATACTGTCATTTTCAAGAAAAGTGGTATTTTTGTATCAATTTTCAACGCAGATCGGCCGATCAGCGTTGGAAAAAACTGGCTTTTTTTCAAATACTGGTCCCAATTGACCATCGCACTTGTTTGCAATCGATTACAAACCTATGAACGGGTACGAGCCAGCTAGACTGGTTCCCTGACCTTACAATTCCCCAATGTATGTAAACTGCTCTGTTTCTTCTTATATAGAGTCAGGGAACCAGACTACAGGAAAATGATTGTTTTTCTTGGTTTTTATAGCATTTTCGAACCCAGAACCTCAAAAAAGTAAGTGTAACTATATTCGCTATATATTTCCAACCCCCCAATTCCATCCATTTCTGAAAATTACAGCAAAAGCAAATGATGTATATTCCCTTTAAGTAAGCTGTGTGAAATCCTTCATGATATGTAAAGGGCTGCGGTCGGGGATTGGAATCAAGTTTGTCTTTGGAACTGCTGAGGGCGCACTCTACTCACAAAGTTGGCAGCGTCCATGATGCCATCTTCCACCGGCAGGCTGGAGTCGATGGTGAAGTGAAGGGTCTGCCTCTTCTTCTTCCCCTTGACCACAGGCTTGGCGCCCTTCTTGTTTACCTTTGCTTTTGCTTTTTTCTGGGGAAAAAAAAATGACACTTTCTGTCAATAACCGATCACAACATAACCCTGTTGGTCAACAGCCTAGCCTATGTGTGTTTAGTTGCGGAGAAGCAAAAAAAAAAGGAAAGATTTCCATATATAGTATATGAAGTTCACTCAACACCCTGTGTACAAACCCTATGAGACTGGACTGAAAAATTCTAAGTGTTTTCTAAGAAAATGCTTGTATTTTCTCACTGCTCAAATTGACTTTGATGACATGAAATTGCTATCTGGGGGCTTGTTAGTCAATACAGAGGAAAATTAGTAAACTTCTTATATGGAAATCTTTCCAAAAAAAAGTGTGAATCCGTACATTTAAAATTCATTTACTGACTGAAGCGGTTCAAAAGCATAAGGCGCTAATTTTTTAGTGCTGTGCATGTTGGGAATTAGGACAGGTTCAATTCTCCTATGGACAGTTTTTGGGTGTGTGAATTTTTTTGGGTGGTATTTTTCCGCCCAATGACAACATTTTCCTCTTTCATGTTAAAAATCAAATCCTACTTTTTATTGAAATAATTTCATCTTTTCTGATTCATGGACTTTTTTTTACAAAAGAGGAAGTAAATTTGGAGAAATACAGTGTTTCATCAAACGAGTGTTCAAGTAGCTGTAATTATCTAAAAATAGGCGCATTGTCATTACAAAATTATTCCTGACTACAATAATACAAAATTATTCCCGACTTCAATAATTGAAGCGGTCATGTTGGACAAATCTCTCCAAATTTACCTTGAAAATTAAGGGTAACGGGATAACTAGACGTCTAGAGGGGGAGTTGGAATAATTGCAGAATACCGCGCCACTCGGAAATACACCCCTAAAATCACTGGCTACGAGGTTGGAATCACTGCAAAAGAAACAATTCAAGTCCATTGCCAGCTACGCGGATACTGAGTGGGGGTCCATTATTTGAGAACGAAGCAACACAAAATGAATGGGAGTTGCTGAAAAAATTCTAAGTCCAAACCAACCACCCTGTTGGCGGCTACGAGGCTACGGAGTGGGAGTCCCCTTGAATATGCTTGAGAACGAAGCAACACAAAAGGAATGGGAGTTGCTGAAAAAATTCTAAGTCCAAACCAACTACCCTGTTGGCGGCTACGCGGTCACGAAGTGGGAGTGCAATGGAGCATGACGCATACTCGGCGTAGTACATACAAGTAGCGCTGAGAATGTATATTGAGGTCAATCAGCCGTGACCTCGTAGCCGGCTACGAGGCGGATAGATCGAGTGGCGGAGTATTCTGCAATTGTGCCAGAAGATTGAATGGGCGGCTATAATCAAGTGAAAAAACAGTCCAATTTAAGATTTAACACTCACTAAATGTGCAACTTTTCAGAAAATTTATCATGCATCATGAGCTGTGCATGTGTTGCTCATTTATGGGACACAATTCTCAAGTCATGACAAATATTCCTGAAAAAAAAAAAATCTTAAAGCAAATTGGATGGGATATCAGTTACATTTTCAATCAACTACAGTTTGTGAAAATGCCTTCTTTTTGAGATGGATTTACATATTTAAGTACGGCCTAGGACCGGGGGTTCATTTTCACTCCACGCATACCACGTGCAACGCCATTAGAATTCAGTGGTGGCGCCCTTCCCATCGACCATGTCGGCCGCATTCGCGTATGCGTGAACGATCTTGCGAAATCCTACAATTTCACCTTGTAAATTCCCACTAAATACAGGTTTAATCCACCCAAATGTAAGCCCAGAGTATACACAGTTAGTAGGAGATATCATATAATTAGTCTACGCTAAATATTACGACCAAATTATCCAATAAATTATCGGTTTTTCCGTGCCGCGTTCACCTACCGCGGGCATTTTGTTCACTTGCAGGATAAAAGAGACCGATCTTTGCCCGAGTCAATCCCAACACAACCGAACAGTTGGCGAACGTCATCGGATAAACGAAAAACAATGAATGTTTCAAGAACAATTATTATTTTTCAACAAAATAATAATTTTCTAAACTTAATTTGAAGTAAACAGTAGATTTGGGGATATATTGCAGATTCGTTGTCTGATAACTTCCAATTTCTTGTATTTCCGGAGAAAGCCGAAGTTTACCGAATCGTTTCCCTTCAAAGATGGCGACCATTTGAGAATCCTTTTCCTTTCGGTGGCAGCAAAATTAAATCGATTAACACTGCTTGCTCTTATTCCCAATTCAGTAAAGGTATGTCCATATCCATTTGCTGTATTCTTTCCTTTCACTGAATCAGTTACCTCATTTTTGAACGTGAAGTTTTATAAAATAGGCCCTATTGGATTAATTATGCTATTTTCCGGTAATTGCATCTATTTCGTGATAATAAAGACTGCCACATTATTTCTGACTGAAACTTTTACCCAAGTTTTAACTTAGATGAATTGTTAATGTTGTAACCTGGAATTAAGTTATAGGCACAATTGCAGAATACCCCGCCACTCACCTATCCCACCTCGTATCCAGATACGCGGATACGGAGTCACGCTTGGATGCTCAACCAAAACCACACGCGTACGCCACCCCATATCCCCGTATCCGCGTATCCACTTCCCGGCACCTACTTTGGACTTAGACGTTTTTCCCCAAAACCACACGCGTACGCCACCCCGTATCCCCGTATCCGCGTATCCACTTCCTGGCACCTACTTTGGACTTAGACGTTTTTCCCCTGCTCCCCATTCAAATCACATTGTCTCTGCCTTCGTTATATTCCAACATGGATATATGGATGCTTCGTTCTCAAAAATAATACAGGGCAATAGCGCCCTCTTTAGACCCTCCAGCGCTTAAATCCACCCCGCATTTAATGTATCCGCGCGGGTATCCACTTCCAGACATCTACATGTACTTTGGACATTTCTGCAACATTTTCCGACTGCGTAGCCATTTATTTTTAGGGGGTAATTTTCGCGTGGCGGGGTATTCTGCAATTACTCCAAGTTATATAATAAAACATTTAATGTAAAACTGATGTATTCATAATTTATTTGGTTAGTTATGTTCGGTCCTAGTCCTAACATGCCTAACCAGCTAACACTAACAGACTAACAAAAAAAAGTAACATGCATCAACAACTTGAACAAGCGTCACTGGCGTCAACAAACTTCAACGGTCGTCAACCCAGCGTCAACAAATTTTGTAGAAGTTTTGGAAAATCAAAAACAGCTGTATACGGTAGAAATGGCAACAAAGAACACCTTCAGCATATAAATTGATGTAAAAACTATTTCAAAAGTTTTTTTTTTCAACGCGAAACGTGGTAGGAGGGTTGAATAAATTATTGCTGATGTTAGATACAAGAGTGTCCATTTACTGTCCATTTCAATGTTTCTGTTTATGCAGTTTCTTGGTTTCTCGTTTTGGAACGGAGCACCATGCCAGGCCTTCTGGATCGGCCCAAACTCACACAGGCAATGGCTGCCGCACTGCGACATCACATACTCAAAGAGCGGGAACGTAAACGGCAAGGTAAGCAACGAACTACACAGTACAAGTCAAACACCGGTCACATCCCAAGTCAAGTCATAAGCAGCAGAGTATGATCGGTGACAAAGAAATTCCTATGACACAGACTACTTGAAAAGCTTGTGATTTGATGCACTTGTGATTAACTAGAAAAGGCGGCTCGTGATGATCTATGATGACTTTTTTTCAATTCTTTAAAGCTATAGTCCATCATTTGCAGCCATCCGAAAAAGTAACTGGCGTATTATTGTTGAAAAACGTACTTGGTTGAAAGATAGTAAGTGGACTAAACTCCCTGTGAAATTAATCTTTCTGGCAAGCTATCATTTTGAAGTAAGGCGAAGTAAAAAAAAAAACATGTTTAGCGTCCCCGCCCGCTTCCTTTTTAGAGGCCGCCTCCTTTTTTTTTTTTTTTTTTTTTTTTTTTTTAAAGACAAAAATTGATAAATTTTAACGATCTCTGACGAAAGAAATCACATTTTTAGACTTTTATACCGTGTATAAAGCTGTGGAAATAGTCAATGAGTCCAAGTGGCGGCCATTTTGAAAAAAACTGGTAACCATCTTGAAAAATAGCCCGGCTGCGTTGTCTTGAAAAATGTGTCGGGCGGCCATTTTGAAAAAAAAAAAAAAAAAAGGGCCTCCTCCTTCCTTTTTGTCAAAGAGGCAGGACGCTAAACATGTGTTTTTTTTTATTTTGCCTAATCAACGAAAGAAGGCCTTTCCAACGGCACGTCTTAAGACGCACCGTAGGAAAATTTAAATTAGTAGTTCGTTTTGTTATTCGGCGCAGTGCGCGCAAGCATTGGAACGACGCACAGGCGCGCGCGGTTGCTATAATTCGTCGGATCAGTGCGCGACATCGCGTATAGCTGCAATTCAAAACAATTCAAAACATGATTCAGCAACTTTTGATTTGAAATTGAGATCCTAGAATGCTGTTTTTCTCGGAATATACAGCTGAAGCTGAGCTGAAACTTCATCAGGTTAGTTGTTCAGTATCCTTCTTTAGATTTTGAACACTTTTGTTGCTTCAAACGAACAAAATGCACAAATTACAAATGATGGACTATATCTTTAAAGTACTTGCCAGATGAGGAAATTGTTGGACTTTGACTATTGCAATGCTTGTCTAAACTGTTACTTCTTTTCTCCAAATGTAACATTGATGTTTCAGTGATGGAGTTTCAGTTAGGGTTAGGGTCACATTAACCCTAACCTTCCCAAATCCTCCAAAATCCTCTCTGCAAAATGGGGTATTTTGCAGGATTGAGGCCATAAGGCAAAAGTGTGTGGCTGATTTTGGAGGATGCACTGTGTCAAGGTCTTGGGCCGGACCTTGTGTTGTTTATGCTCAGCCGTGCATACATTTAGGCCTAGATTATACTTGAAATCCTCTGCACTGCTCCAGGATGTCACTGGCCGAGCCTCAACATATTGACAGTGATTGCTGGAGGATTTTGCAGGATTGAGGCAGTGGTCACCCCTCCAAGGACCACACTCAAGAAATAAAGGAGGATTTTGAAGGATTGAGGCAGTGGTTACCCCTCCAAGGACCACACTCAAGAAATAAAGGAGGATTTTGCAGGATTGAGGCTGTATGCAATTTTTACATGGAGACAGTTGGAGGATGTTGCAGGATTGAGGTTGCATCCTATCAAAAATGCCTAGGGAGTTAGGGTTAATTAATGTGCCAATCATCAGCTAATTTTGACCATTTTATACATATTTGAAACAGTCTACAGCATCGAAAATTAAATAAGGGTTTCAGCTGAAAAAATATAGAAATTAAAAAGCTGCTCTGCCATGTCTGCTAAAAGCCAGAGTGCTCAGAATGAAAAATTGCGTCAATAAAAGACCCATTTGCTTATGTCATGGTACGGCACTAGCACTCCCACAACAATCAAGGCTGCTTGGGAGGTATTTGTTTCCATGGCATTAAATGTACACGGTGCAGAGATGCTTCTTTTGTCGTTGAATTCTCAAGCTTCCCATCATTTCATTAATTCTGCCAGGGAGAAGATCTGTGTAAAAACTTTGTATATCTCTCCTTTGTTAAATCCTCAAAATCAAACGTGCTGTCAAACAATAGGCCTAAATTGTTTCAATTCAGGAGCGAATCCTAAATCGAAATGTGTGAAATGCATTCACTATGCGCAATGTAAGGCACAAAACAGTTGTGTGATTGTAGAGCTGTACCTTGACGTCATCAAAATGGGCTTGTAGCAGATGCTCCTGATGGCTTTTGTTGTCCTTCTGGCTTTTAGCAGAGCTTTTTTACTCTTTGTTTTTACAGTGGAGACTCCTTTTATTTAATTTTCGATGTAGTAGATTGTTTCAAATATATAAAATCTTCAAAATGAGTCGATGCTTGCCACATTCATGTGACTAATCTTAAAAGCAAGACTTTTAAATTGGTTTTAACAGAGGAGGAAGAAGCAGATAAAGCCATTGAGAGGAAGAGAGAGGAGGCGGAGCGTCTGAGAAAGAAGGCGGAGGCGGAATCATTATCCCTGGAAGAGACCAAGGATCAGGTAGGTTGATAATTGATTGATTGGTAACAGTGTAGAATTACAAAACTCAGCTTTTGGGGGAAAGTCCTATAGTTTGCCCCAAAAAGTATGAAACATTGGAAATTAAACACGTCTCATTCTCCCCAAATCACATCCGAAGTGTGTAGTCTCTTGTCACAGTTTTGAGGGTATTTTTTCTTCAAATTATTACTTTCTTTGCCTTTTGTTTTTAGATTAAATCAATGGAAGAGAAATTGAAGTCTCTTCAAACGGACAAACATGAGCTGTTCTTGCAACTGAAGAAGGTTCTGAATGAGGGTGATAACCGCCGACGTCAACAAATGAAGGAGAAGAGGTTTGTTTTCTCAGTGGTACTTGAGTCACTTGGGTTGAGTCTAATTGTGAGTCATTGAGTTTCTTGAGTTGAGTCTGAGTCCAAAAATTTGAGTCATTTGGTTTGAGTGCGAGTCTGAGTCACTAATCACTTGGTTTGAATCTAGTCTCGATCTCGAGTCACTTGGGTCAAATCCAAGTCTGAGTAATGAGTCACTTGATTTGAGTCCCAAGACTGAGTCACAAAAAAACAACTGAGTCCTGAGTGACATGGGTTGAGTCCAAGTGCGAGTCTCGACTCAGTTGAGTTTAGTCTGAGTCCATAAATTGAGTCACTTAGGTTGAGTCAAAGTCTGAGTCAAAAATCACTGGGTTTGAGTCCAGTCCAGGTCTCGAGTCACTTGGGTCGAGTCCGAATCTGAGTCACAAGTCAGTTGGGTCACATCCAAGTCCCGGTCGTGAGTCATTTGGTTTGAGTCCGAGTCCGAGTCATGAGTCATGTGATCGAGTTGAATGCATACATGCGTATATGCAGTAGCCCCCAAATCAGCAATCAGGACTCCACAATTACCTGGACTCACAAGTCACATGTCCTTAGTTTTCAAGTCCAAGTCACGATACATATTGTTTTAGTCCGAGTCTTTTGTCGCTGTCGCTCAAGTCGAGTCCGAGTCACCGAAATTACAACTTGAGGCTGACTCACGTTCGAGTCCCGGACTTGAGTCGTACAACTCTACATTTTAGAGAGATTTTGAAAAGAGGCACTATCGTTTTGCTTGCTGGCATGTTTTCAAATCTGTATCATTTCTTATTTATACAAATATTTGCCCTTTGACCTTACAGTGACTTGATGGTTGCTATGGGTCATCACCAGTATCACCCTGCGATGCACATGCCAGGACCACACATGATCGTTCAGGGTAGGTTATTAATTTTGGCGTACCTTCCCAAAATGACTTGATATTGATTGTCTCAGGGGAGTCAGGTTGTCGTAGCGGCACTTTCCTTGCCTTCCACCATTGTGATCTGGGTTCGATTCCTGCCTGGGCCAATCTGTGGATTGGGTTTTCAGTCCCTACTTGATTCTGTGGGTTTTCCTCAGAAAATTCTTGTGGGGGGTTTTCGTCCCACATCTAAAACTGTAACTTCTTTACCTTGTCTTCTCTTTACTGGGCCCCATGGGAGACCAGTGGATTCCACTGAATGGGCTACCCAGTTAAAATAAGAATTAAAAAAATTTAATAAACCAGAAAATTGCGTTAGCAGTTAAACAAGAAATTGAAAAAAACACACCGAATATTTGCAACTTTTTTTTACTTTGCAACCTGCCTGCCAATCAAACAATGCGCTTTGACAAATTCGATCGCGACTTTTGGTCAGGTGACTACGATAGCTTGGCCAAGGTCGGTCACAAGCACTGTGCCAAATACACACAAACCAAAGGTGGCGGGGTTTAAGACCAAATCTTGAGCGGTCCATTGTCTTGAGCGTTCCCTTAATTATGTTTTTCCTTTTTGTAGCATGATTAGCGAGAAATCTCTGCTTACTGCAGCAGAACAATTCCATGCTTACTGTAAGCGTATTTCACGGGTTAGCCAGGAATTTTGGCTTCTGCACATGCGTACATCCCATAACTTAAAGGATTCTGTGCTTACAGGGTATCGCAGAATTTTTCTGCTACCGCTGTTAGCGCAAAATGGTAATCGTATGCGCGGAATTCTGTGGTTAGTAGAGGTATGAAATTCGGCCCAGTTTTATGGTGACATTTTTGGCTATGAATACAGGTGCCCATATGCAAGGCAGGCCTGCCATGTTGGACAAGGGACATGTGTACCGAACAGCAGCGCAACAACCTACGCAGGGTGTCCACGTAAGTGCAATTTCAGAGAGAATCAGTTTCTTTCTTAGGGCTGTGCCAATTAGGGGTAAGTTCAAGAATTAGAGTAAGTCCAATAAAAGGTTCGCTTATTGTCCCATAAGAAACGCCATGGTTTCGTTTATTACATAACCATCGCAAAGACTAATAACTTAAAAATTCTTGTGGGTTTCTCCCTTGCAGATGCCCAACAGTAGAATAAAAAAGATTAAAATCCATGAACATCTTAGGTTAAGTATGGGACATAGTGTGTGTGAATTCTTGGACTTGCCCTCTACAGAATATTATATCTGAATAGCATTTTTTTAATTCAAATATTTGACTGAATTTGAGCAGTCCTGAGGAGATGATGAAAACATCCACAATATTATTTGAATCGTATAAGTTGTTTGGTTTTTATCCCACTGGCTTTCAAGCCAGAAAGGGGGATATTGCGATCGCGTATTCCTTCTGTGTGTCTGTGTACGTTTGCTTATGGTGTTAATCGAGGACACATACATGTACGTGCAACATCATAGCTGAATCGAGGACAGGCACCAAATCGAGATCCTGGAAAACGTGTACAAAACCAATGAGAGCTGTTGTGAAAAAGTTAGAGTACAACCAAAGGAAAAGGGAAGAGGAACAAAAGAAAATCCTCGATTTTCACCATAAACAAACAACTTGTGTGTCTGTGTGTGTGTGTATTCAGTCATCAATCTCAACCGAACCTGAAAGGTTGTCTGTGGAGAGAAGGTTGGCGTAAAAACAATCCTTTCCAATATGGATATTTACGAGTCCTCTGGAGAACTATAAAAGGGGTACAAAATTTTGACATGGAATTGGGAAATGAAGCAGGACAATAATATCAAGTTGTTTGTCCTATTTTCCAATTGTACATTTCCTCCTCATTGTTGAGGATTGTGCTTTTACAGAATTTAAGACTTTCCAGGCAAATTTGACAGATTGTCCTTACTAACTGTCTGTATACAAACTGCCAGCATGCCAGGGGGATAGCACAAGTTTTACTTGCAGTATTTTTTATTGTTTGTCAAATGCCACACTTTTGTTTTGCCACTTTCGCGGATGATTTGAGATCTCCCATGAGAAATTTTAGCTCAAATTTCTTCTTTAAAATTGGTATTCTGGTACCTCCCTTTTTGTGTTATTCGCTACCTCCTTTTATATTTTATTTTAGGGTGTGAAGAGAAATCGTAGCCCGTCTCCGCCAGTGGTTGAACTGTACCCTCAGCATCCAGTGCAGCAAGGGCCGTATGCCCAGGGGCCGTACGGACAGAGCCAGGCCTCTCATGGCTCATACAGGCAAGGTAAGCAAGGATTACAAGTGAATCACAAGTGAATCGCAAGTGAATCCCAAGTGAATCACAAATGAATCGCAAATGAATCGCAAGTGAATTGCAAGTGAATCACAAGTGAATTACAAATGAATCGCAGGTGAATCACAAGCGTTTCACAAGTGAATCGCAAGGGAATTGCAAGCGTATCACAAGGAATCGCAAGTGAATCGCAAGTGAATCACAATGGAATCACAAATTAATCAAAAGTGAATCACAAAAGAATCACAAGTGAATCACAAGTGAATCGCAAGTGAATCACAAGTAAATCACAAGTGAATCACAAGTTGAATCACAAGTGAATCACAAGTGAATCGCAAGTGAATCACAAGTGAATTGCAAGTGAATCATAATTTGAATCACAATTGAATCACAAGTGTTTCACAAGTGAATCGCAAGGGAATCGTAAGTGTATCGCAAGCGAATCACAAATGAATCACAAGTCATCGCAGGTGAATCTCAAGTGAATCGCAAGTGAATCACAAGTGAATTGCAAGTCAATCGCAAGTCAATCACAGTTCAATCACAAGTCAATCACTAGTCAATCACAAGTCAATCACAAGTTTAATCACAAATCAGAATCATATGCTCAAATAGGCAAGGTAAGTAAGACAGGAAGCCGTTTTCAAGAAATTTGACATAGTAGTGTCGTCAAGGTTCTTGTGATGGATCACGAGACATCACAAGTCCATCACAAGTGAGTCATAAGATGTCCAGTCCAAAGTCAACTCGCAAGCTATTCGGTAAACTGTGACAAAAGCATTCCTATGTTTTTATTCATCCCGTTACTTGTGACTAGACTTGTGAATTGACTTGTAATTTACTGGTGATTTTGCAATTTTACAAATGATTATTGACTTCCCCGTAATGCATTGCGGGCAAAAAAGGATTTCAAACTCATGTGGTAGCTTTTTTTACATTGCAATCACTTGAATTAAAAAAATGGTTATAATTACACTGCTTATAATTACAGGCCATCAGCCTTACAGCACCTCACAAGCCAACTCCAGCTATGTCAACCAATCGGCGACCGGCTATCCACCTGGCCAGCAGGCAGTGCATGCTGGGTATGGAGCGGGTAGCCAATCAAGTGCCAGCAAATACCGAGGGGAGTCAGCGTTCAGCTCCTACCCGAATCACTTCGTGCCTCAGCAGACCCCACAGGCTTACCAGGCTCAGCCCCATCGTAAGTTGCGTGTGAAATTTTGTCACATTAGGCTCTCCATAGTGATTTTGCAGTAGCACTATCTTTCTGTATGTGTAGGTAGGCTTTTCATGATGTAAACAAAAGGTGCGAATTCGTTTTGAGATTCTACCAATAATGTCTCACAACTGCTAATGGAAAATGTTGAAACACCCTGTTTATTTCAGTGCTGTTATATTCTACTTTTCAATGATAGGTTTTTGAGCCCAAAACAGTGCATTCTGGAGCAATTTTGGTTGAGGACCATTAGTCGTCTAGTGGTTGATTCGTGACATACTTACGTCTGCGTACTAATTGCAACTTGCGAACGCCACATGTCAACCTCTGGTCAAAACATCATCACAAAACTTCTTGATCCCGGTTCACTTAGTATTAAGTAAAGTCTGTCGCAAGCCAATATGGCGCATCCGGCCAGCATTTATTTCCAGTTTCCTTGGCATGAAACGACTGAGAATATTTCTATTCCCCCTGTATGGGATGCCAGTCCATTGCAAGTTACGCCCCAACTAATGCCGGTACCCATTTATACTCCTGGGTGGAGTGAGGCAAGTGGGGTGAAGTGACTTGCCCATGAACATAACACACGGCCAGCAGCTGGATTCGAACCCCTGACCCTCTGTTCACGAGTCAGAACCCTAACCACTAGGCCACACTCCCCCTGCTTGCTCCCCTGGGTAGAGGTAGGCAAGTGAGGATAAAGTGGCTTGCCCAAGGACACAACACATGGCAAGCAGCTGGGTTTGAACCCCTGACCCTCTGTTCACTAGTCAGGAACCCTGAGCACTAGGCCACACTCCCCCTGCTTGCTCCCCTGGGTAGAGGTAGGCAAGTGAGGATAAAGTGGCTTGCCCAAGGACACAACACATGGCCAGTGGCTGGGTTTGAACCCCTGACCCTCTGTTCACGAGTCAGGAACCCTGACCACTAGGCCACACTCCCCCTGCTTGCTCCCCTGGGTAGAGGTAGGCAAGTGAGGATAAAGTGGCTTGCCCAAGGACACAACACATGGCCAGCGGCTGGATTTGAACCCCTGACCCTCTGATCACGAGACAGGAACCTTAACCGCTAGGCCACACTCCCTTTCACTCAGATTTGTGTGTTGTACAGGTTATATCCACGGTGGCCAGTCAGCCTCTGCAGCCAGCATAGCAGTGCACCAGCAACAGACAGTGGACCAGTCTGTCAAGCAAGGTCCGTATGCTGATGAGCAGGGCCACTACCAACACAAACTACAGGGCCAGGTCAGTCTTTGGGTATTTTCTAAACCTCGGTTCGTCTTCAGTGCTGGCTTCTGGAGGTTTTCGGCCCCGGATTTGGCAGGGCTGGGTCAATTATGGGTGCATATTCGGCTTCAGGATTATTTCTGAGACAGACATGTAGCCCAGCTGAACACAGAGCCGGACTTTCAAAATCACTTTTGGTTTCTATATTCTATGTAACAAGGCAACTGTTTCGTGTATCATTCATTTTTTCCCTAATAAAGCAAGTCACTGTTTCATGTATCATTCTTAAGTTTCTGTACTGCACCATGTGACTTTCCTGTATCATCCTTTTTCCCCACTACTGCTTACCACTGTTTTACTGCTGTTTTAATGTGTCACTATCTTGTTTACCCACTGCAGCATGTGACTTTTTCCTGTATCATTCTCTCCTTTTACCTCTTAGGCATACTACTGCTCCATGTATCATTCTCAAGTTTCCCTACTGCATCATGTGACTGTTTCCTGTATCATTCTCTTGTTTGTCCCTCTGAGGCATACTACTGTTCAATGTATCAATCTTAACTTTTCCCTTTGCATCATGTGACTGTTTCATGTGTCATCCTCAAGTTTCATCACCGTATCATGTGACTGTTTCCCGTAGCTTTCTCTCATTTCTCCAACAGCATCTTACCACTGTTTCTGCATCATTCTCGCATTTGTTCTATTGATCAATAACTATTTCATGTGTCATTCTCCTGTTACCCTCTGCATCATGTGACTGTTTCATGTATCATTCTCTTGTTCTATCGTTTTGCAGCATGTGAGACAGATTGCCGGTGCCCATCCACAGGCGCTTCATGCCCAGCAGGCGCTCCTACAACCGCAGGTGCAGTCGCAGGTGCACCTACAGCAGCAGCAAGGAAAGGTAAAACATATCATTATTTTATCTCTTTTGTTGGTGTTTCCAGTAAGAGAGTAAATTCTTGTTCTGCAGACATGTTTGCAATATTTTCATTGTTTCTTTTCTGCAGCCGAGTATGCCATCTTCCTACACACCCAGACGGAAGCCTGAATCACCCATATACCAACACAAGAAACCTAACCAGCAACATCAGCAAACACAACCACAGCCACATGGGGTGAGAACAACACTCCCCCCACCCCCACCTCCGCCCCCCCCCCTCAAAAAAAAAATATCTTTGGCCTAAAATCCTTAAAGAGGTCCGTGCTTTTTGAGTGTGGCACCATAGAAATAAATTTTAAAACTGAATTAATTATAAAATTTGTTAGCATTACAGACGTTATAAACTTTCCATTGAAACATTGAACGAACAAATTGATCCACGCTAAGTTATCAAGTTTTTTAAATTCAGCTTTTGAATTGGGAGCCGGACAATCCTAATTCAGCTTAGGCTTGACTCACGAGTTGGACTTAAGTCGAAATCCATGCACAACACACACTGACATTGCAACTCAGCCCTGAATTTCATCATCAACGTCGTGCCCCAAGTGCAACAAGTGCCTTATTAACACGCATACCAATTCCGTGTGTGTACGTGTATGCATACAGTACAGACCAAGGGCAACACCCGACTCTGGGCAAGTCGAAATTCAGCTCGAGCATGAAACACACGCAACATACAAAGCTCTTGTTTTGAAGGAATCAGTGCCTCTAAATGCTAAAGCAACCAACTTATTCGTTCAAGGTCATCATATTCTTCGAAAATTCATTCGGAAAGAAATTTGAAAAGCACGGGAATACTGACTTTATTAGATGTACTGTTCTTGCTCCTCACTGGTTAAATTTTTTTGTCCTAAAGACTTTTCAATTTGTTTGTTTAGTTTTAAAGAAAAAAAATACTTTATCTATTTTTGCAACTCTCGGCGAAAATGTTTTCATCGGGTAACCATTTTTCTCGCCCTTTTTTTTTTAGACGAGTTACCAGTCCCCCCAGCAGGCTCAGAGGCACGGTAGCTACCCAACTTCACAGAGTCAACATCAACAGGGCAGCAATAGATTCTACTGAGTAAAGGGATTAGCCATAGACCAGCAGGGGCGGAGTTAGTGTATTAAGGGGGTTGATAATGGACCGAATTGCTGAATGTTGATAGACTGTTTCGTTATGCCTTGCCACTGTGCATGTGAGCAACAATACGTGCAGTAGAGGCAATGTAGGCAATTGTAGTAAAGTGTCTTGCCCAAGAACACAAGCACCATGTTCCCTATTATGGTTGAACCCACATACTATCGCACATTGGTTGGATGTCGTAACTGTGCATGTGGGCAGCAATACATGCAGTTGAGGCAATGTAGGCAATTGTAGTAAAGTGTCTTGCCCAAGAACACAAGCACCATGTTCCCTATTATGATTCGAACCCACATACATCGCACATTGGTTGGACGTCGTAACTGTGCATGTGGGCAGCAATACGTGCAGCAGAGGCAATGTAGGCAATTGTAGTAAAGTGTCTTGCCCAAGAACACAAGCAACATGTTCCCTATTATGATTCGAACCCACATACATCGCACATTGGTTGGACGTCGTAACTGCATGTGGGCAGCAATACATGCAGTTGAGGAAATGTAGGCAATTGTAGGAAAATGTCTTGCCCAAGAACACAAATAACATGTTCCCTATTATGGTCGAACCCACATACGATCGCACATTGGTTGGACGTCGTAACTGCATGTGGGCAGCAATACATGCAGTTGAGGCAATGCAGGCAATTGTAGGAAAATGTCTTGCCCAAGAACACAAGCACCATGTTCCCTGTTATGGTCGAACCCACATACATCGCCCATTGGTTGGACGTCGTAACTGCATGTGGGCAGAAATACATGTAGTTGAGGCAATGCAGGCAATTGTAGGAAAATGTCTTGCCCAAAAACACAAATAACATGTTCCCTATTATGGTCGAACCCACGTACATCGCACATTGGTTGACGTCGTAACTGTGCATGTGGGCAGCAATACATGCAGTCGAGGCAATTAAGCAATTGTAGGAAAATGTCTTGCCCAAGAACACAAGCACAATGTTCTCTATTGTGGTTCGAACCCATATTATGGGTGTACATGTACTACATACACCCCGAGGACAGACAGACGAAGGGAAGATAACAGATTCTTTGTTGCCCTCAATGTTTAGTGTTGCAACCCACAATTAGCGTAATGGCTTTGTAATGCTGTGAATATAAATGCCATAAATGTGTTTTATTTTGCAAAGATTGTTGTGCATGTTTGGTAAGAAAATACTGGACTACATATACATGTAGATGTAATGATTTTTCAATAAAATGGCTGCATTTGTGTTCATGGTCTTGATATGTAACTCACACATTTGAAACATTCAGAACTCTCAAAATGTTTATTATAACGTTGCTTGAGCTAACAAAGAAGATGCTTGACAAAAACATACTTTCATAAGTCATACATATATACGTGTAACTATACATTATATCAAGAGTTTTTAAAGATCAAGTTTCGGACGAAGATCTCTACATTTTAAGTAGCATTTTGTTGTACATAATAAGCATATTTACCACATTTTGTTATCTACAATTAACCACTCACTTTGAAATATACCAGAATATCTCAATGTTTGTAAGAAAACAAGTAACCAGTTTGTTTATATTATTCTTGAAATAAAGAACTGTCATGTTAATGCCAGAGTTTTTCTTGTAATCTTCTTTGCTTTGTTTGATCTTTGATCTTTTTCTTTTATTTTTCTCTGCAAAACGACTTGAAAAAAAATCATGAATTTTTTTGAATAGCCCAGTATTTTGAGCTGTAAAACTAAAAAAGAGAGTATTTCGAAATAAAAATATAATACATAGAAATAAATGTAAATAATATATAAAATCACATTTATTTAAAAACTGCACTCTTCATATATATATATATATATTTTCTTTTCTAGACAAACTGCCCTCTTTAAGAACGCCCCGCCCCCTCGAAGAAAAGCGCGCGCCAAATTCATGCATTGAGAGTCCAGGAAATGATTGCATAATAATACGACAGAGGGCGTTCCATACAATTACCAGCAAACTTTTTTTCTTGGGGGACTCTTGTGGGTGGTCCCCTATCGGATCTGTCATCGGTAGTGTGCAACATCTGGGGTACGGGCACCAGTTAATCTGCACCTGTGCATGCGACGCGCCAGTAAATGTACCGGCTGCCCATTAAAACCGCAAAGTTTGGGTGGGAGATATACCACGCGTAGTTCGTCGCTGGCTGGGTGTAGATCACTCGACTTTTCTGCCCTTGTTTTGGCATAAAAAGTCATCAACACCCCGATCAGACTGTGCAGGTAGCCCAGTAAACTAGCTTTAGATCTCGTGGTGGATTTGTTGGAGTGCAGTCGCACTGAGCACTTCTATTTGCCCAACTATCAAACTTGATCCGGGGAGTGATAATGGATCACCGTGTTACGCTGAGCGTGTTGCTGGCCGTGATTTGCGCCGTAGCCCCGGCGGGCTCGCAGCCGCTGCACGGTCGGGTCAGACCCCGGCCAAAATGCACCGATGCCCAACCCTTGGAGCAGCGCACGGAGCTGGCCAATGTCATCGTGTCTGGCTACGTCGGTAAGGTGATGCGGAAACCTAGGACCCTCCAGTACAACTGCGAAGTTCAAATTGTCCGGATTTTCAAGGGGGAGGAGACGGTCCACAACGGCATCAGCCCGCCGATGGACCCGCAGACGAATCAGATCATGGTGACCGGCTTCGGAGACCCCGCTATCTGTGATAACGCTGCACATGTCGGAGATGTCAAGCTTTTACTTCTGGATCGAGATCGTAATGGATTTCTCAGACTGAACTCCAGTCTTGTGAGAATTACGCTGGGAAACTTGGACATGACAAATGCCTTTGTTAAGGGTAAGTTTCTGTTCTGTTAATTTGATTTTTTTCTTTTGCCATTTGCGTTGACCCGTTTATTCTGTGTTGAATTCCCCAATGTCTGCAGTTGTTGATCCTGATAATTATTCGATCATGTTTATTTGTGTTATATTATGTTCTTGTGTTTTTCTTTCCAATCTTTCTGGGTTTGTGATTTTATACATTGTTTCAAATGTTTTGTTACGTCCATATTACTTAGTTGTTCGAGGCCTTGGCTTATGCCGTGATGATGATTTGATTCTGTGGTATATTTTACTAACAATTTTCTTCATTTTATACTAACTTAATTTAAATGCTTCGTCTTTTGTGCCTGACAATTTTCTTCGTCCTTATTACCCAATAGCAGTTTTGGGTGTGTGTGGGGGGGGGGGGGGGGGGGGGGGGGGGGGGGGGGGGGGTTATGCATAATTTTCCATCAAGTTATCTACTTTTGTTTCAAATTTCTCTTTTACAGTTAAACAAGTCATTAAATAATCGTAAAAAAATATTACATTTAATACATGATAAATGTTTGAAGAAAAAAAGGTTTTGCCCTGATTTCATTACTTTAAGCATGGAGACAAGTTTACAAGATTTTCGACATCCTAGTCAGCAACTTCTGCAATAGCGCTACATGCCATTCCAAAAAATTAATGCACCCCCCCCCCCCGAATTTGTGTTCGCATTTTGTACCAGTTACCATGGTTAAAGGAATGTTTCCTTTGTTTAAATGTTAGTCTGACTCTTGACATGACACATGATATCGGCCGACATCCATGCCTGATCCCTCATGGAAATATTTAATCCCTCGAGTTCTTTCCAGCTACTGGCTCTTTTTAAGTTTTGTCCAGAATTTTTTCTTTTTTTTAGGGGGGGGGATGTTTGGAAAAACATGTTTGGGTTAAACAGCAAATGTGTGATGTTATGTGACTTGTGCAATTTCTAAACATAAATCAATTGTTTTCACTGAGGTTAACATCCCTATGTTTTAAATCATTCCTGTATCATGACTGCACTTGACTTTTTCAAGTGCCTTCGGGGCAGTGCTGGTGATAGTCCCGACCATTGAATAATTTTGTCTCCATGGTGAAAATGGGTCGAGGAGTTTAATACTGGTCTACAGGTCTTTATTGAATCAACTTCGTTCTGCCTTTTATCAAGAAATTTAAAAAAATTTGGAATGATGTCTTAAAGGAAAGATATGTTTTCATGCACGCTTTCAGTTTTCTTGCACATTTTATTTTTAAGCTCCAGTGGCAGGAGCTTCTGCATAGTGTACATGTCACTTGGCGGTTGGTCTGTCTGTCTGTCTGTCTGTCCCTGATAATTGACCAAAAATTTACCAAATGCCATGCCGTGGTCATAAAAATGCACCCTTGCCGAAAGTTTTTGGAAGACCGGCTTTGTTTCGATCAGTGCGCATATGCGCGTCTTATTCGCAAAACGGGCCAGAGCTTTTAAATTGTGCACTCGCGCTTGTTTCATAAACACTGTAAATTGCATGTTCACTTTCTTTGAACCGATCAAAGAACTGCATGTATTAAGTTTTTATGAATATTATAGTGGAGTTTCAACTCTTCTTTTTTCTGAAGAAAAAAAAAGGTCACAAAACGAAAGCGTAGGCCTATCTATTCTCGGCTGCTCAGTGCTGCATGGTTGCAAATCTGCACATTAATAATTTTACGACTTTGCTTTTGTGATTAAGTTATCGGGTTTTTATTGGCAGGCTTTTGTGATAATTTCTGATTTATGAAATCCATGCAGGCCGTTAAATGTCTGTATTGGTGTTACACAATCCAACAGGAGTAGAGTTTCGAAATCATTCTAAAAACGTGATTGATTCCACAGGATTTGAAAGCTAACTACAACGTCCCGTCATTCACTGAACGCAGTCATTTACTTGGACTTTGAGGCCTAACAAGTAACACAGGGTGCTTAAATATTGTTGTTAGCGCGACCAGGTCATTGGCTGTGCAGGACAATTGGTTATTGAATGGAGTTCCCCCATAGGAAACAACCCGCTCCTCCTCATTGTCATCTTATCAAAAAGGGGTCTTTGCTTAACATTTTTGACAACACAATACGTGTATAGGGGCTAGTCAATACAGAGATAATGGTGGAAGGACTCCATCAGCATTAGCTGTAGTCGGGGGATAAAAAAAAGCGGCTTGGAAAGTCGGTGCAGTTCACCACTCACTAGAACTGTAGTGCAAAATTGTGCCCTGTCTGTGAAAAATGACTCATTGTGTAGTGTGATGCGCGCATTGCCATTAACTGTTGAAAAGGATAAAGGTGCAGATCAGTAAATAAGCCCAAAATTGCTAACACCTGCCAAATCAAGATTTGTATACTGTCAATTTCTTCTCCTGATAAAAGAGTTTTATGGCCACTTCGCTTGAGGGTTGGTAGAAATGAAGGGTTCAAGCTCAGCACCGGTCTTTGAACTTTTATTTCTGTGAAATTTGGGACATTTTAGACTGAAAGTCGCTCTATTTTGCAATGTAGTGGAAGGATCATGTTTCAAAATGGTGATGGATTTCAGGACTGTTTTTACTGTTTTAGGGGGGATCATCTTTGGAGAGAAATATCACCTGAAAGTCATTTTCAACCCCCCAAAAATTGAACAGATAGTGAGAGATGGTGAATCAAGCTTTAATTTGATGGGTGTCTTGATCATCTTTGAGAGTGGTTAGTATTTTTCCCGATTTATTTTGGATTGGGGTGTTTATCACTGGTGTCTATGATAATTTATTTACTGGTCTGCACCCTAAAAATAATTGAAAGTTGGGTGTTAATATGAATTTAGCTAAATTCAGTGTAATTTGGTTAGAATATTTTGCATGCAGAAATTTTGCCCAGAAACAATTAATTCTTGTTAAACAAGTCATAAACAGATTTTGTTGTAGATTGCAATGTTTGTTGGCCTTTTTGTGCAATTTCTATATTTTCCAAAGCTTGTTTTCTAAAAATTCTTTAGTGAGACAGTTAAATGTTAGATTTTACATCTAGTAAGGCCCGTTCAATTTGTGAACACAAATGCGAGGCGAACTTGCCGACGCCACAAACGTTCGCTGAAAAACTAGCTGGAGCTGAAATGTGCTCAACTTTTGTGAATTCACAGCACGGATACTTGCTGTGACTTCACAAATTTGCATAACGCATCGAGTATGAACGGGGCTTTAGAGGTGTTACATATAATAAATTATATTCAATGAATTGTAACAATCAAATTATCTAACATCAATTTAATTGTAAGGTGTTTAGTCAGATAGTTTACAGTAGGCTACATTTCAAGAGCTCATTTTTTTCAACACATTTCTTGGCACAAACACCAGAAAAATCTGATTTATTAAAACATTTTAGTAAATTTACTTCAATCTTAAAATTAAAAATTGTAAAAAGTTCTTTTTGAGCTTGTCAACTTACATAGGCCAATATTCGTGTGTTAATTTCAAAAATTGCATCGTTAAGGCAGCATCATGAATTCACTCAAGAATTTAAGGCCTATGCAACTTATATAAGATTCAAGAAATCCCCAGAATTCAGCATGTGGCAGATTTCAACGTGACGTTTACTACAAAAGTTCTAGACTGCCAGCTACATGTACACACAGGTGTGTAGGCCTGTTTTTACCCAACAGACGTATTCAATAAATCATCCGACAATTTATGTGTTTCTTTCTTTTAGTGGATAAAGATTAACAACCTCCCCGATTTTATGTGTCAGTGTTTCCCAGATAATCCAGATTCCAGATGGGAAAACAGGTTTCAATGACAATACAGTCATGTAAAGAAACATGAATATTACTGAATTTTTGTGAAGTTTTACTGAAGTTAGGATAAGGCTTTGCTTGTGTTCATTTTCAAACTCCATCTTATTGTAAACACAAAAAGTATGGTACAAATCTTGATTCTTTAAAACTTCCCCAACTCCATCAAAATCCATCCCCCCCTCCCCCATTTTGGGGATTTTGGTAGGCAAGCCACGAGTAGCAAGTCCATCAAAATCCACCTATTGTAGTGGTGGTCTTGTGGTGGATTTCAGCGGATTTGGTCCTGAAGCATTATGTGAAGCAGGGTCAGTGATGGATTTTGGCGGACTTGGTCCAGTACTTAGAAAAATACACTAGGGAGTTAGGGTTAATGCTTATAAATTTCTTTCATTTAGAATTTTGGTGCTGTATTTGAAATGTTTGCAATTTTCCTACTTTACAAGTTTGTTCGAGAACCAGGAGCAACGCATTTCTAATATTTTAGGCTATGAAACTTCCACCTACTCGCCAGGCATTAATTTACATGCTCTGTCTCCAGGGCTGTCATTGGTCGTAATTCAACCACAGAATCCCACAGGGGTTTATGTTATGCTTGAATGTGATTTTGAAGTTTTTTCTTTTTTTCCGGCCAGCCAGGCGACGCCTCATAGGGCAAAGTGTGTCACATTATGACAGCTTGTCAGCTTACCTCAAATTTCCAGCAAACATGTCATAGCCCTTTCAGTCAGGCCTGATTTGTAACCTACTAACCTACCTCTCTGCACTTTTTTGTACGGAACCGTACGAGATCCTCTGAAATTTCTGAAACCTGGTACAAAGTAGCACATATTGGTTGCACTTCTACTTTCAAGAGAAATATGGGGTGCGTTCCACTTGCGTGACGTGAAAGTTATCTTTAGTCTACAGAGGCCCCTATGAATTAGGCAAAGCCATGGTTTACCGTCTGATGTATCGTACCATGTAAATTTTATGCGATCCCGCGCACCAGCCACTAGTCCTTATTAACTGTGACATCATTTCAATCAGAAACGTGGACTAAGCTGTGAATTGGTCAATTTGGATTCCATGTTTTTATAATACAACGGGTTACGGAAGACCCGATAGAAGGTGCCCGCTGAATGGTCAGAATCTCAAGGTCAAGACACAGTCTTGTTTTGCATCATTAATCGCCGAATCTGCTCGCATACATCATAGACCCTTGCTGTGAATGGGGAATATTAGACTATAATGGGTCCCAAGACTTAGTGTCAGTGTGTATAACAG